ATCTTGATCTTTGCAACACTCAGACCACCGTCACTTATCCACACTGGACCATAGTCTTGTGGTCAACACCTTTATTTGTAATCATCTTATACTGCACCGAATATTCTTCAAATTGATCTCTATATCTACAATACTCCACCCTTCCGGCGGTTGTTTATTTCAAAATTCTACAAAAATCAAGAGAATGTTCATTTCCATCAAAATTAATAACAATAACTCCCAAAACTATTTCCACCTTAGAACAATCCATAAAAAGAATTTAGTTCTATGAAAAGAAAATGCTAAGGGCTTACTTTGGATCAAAATTTTTTTATTATTTTTATTTTAAAACATATTTGTTTAATGCGTCGTTTTTCAATTTTTTAATTTTTTTTTATTTTCAATAATAAATCAACTTATTTTTAAAAATAATTAAAATATCTAAAATTTGCTTCGATTATTTTTAAGAACAATTGAATATATTATAACCTGCCAAATATATTTTAGTTCAAATAAAATCATAAACAAAATAAAATAAAAACAATAAATAGAAAATAAAAATCAAGTGATCTTAAATGGCCCCTAACAAAGTTTTCCATCTTGTACATAAGTGAAGTTCAATATCATTGAGCAGCATTTCTAAAACTACTTGCCTATCATTTTCAGGCCCCAATCTACAATACCAAACGGATAGAAAGGACATTTTCCTGCTGTCATCTAATGGATCATACGATGCTTTCCCTAACTCCAGACTTTTTTAATTATTTTTTAATGAACTCTAATGACAATTATTTAGAGATTAGTGATTTATATGTACTTCAATCTTGATTTCAAAAATCGAAATAAAATCTTCTACCAACTTCACATGTCAAGCACGCTTTCTAAAATCTTAGAATTGTCATCCTGCATGAGACAACATTAGCGTGGTCATCCCTCGAGTCATCATATTTTGGAAAAAATATTACATCAAAACTCTTAACGTAGAGCTACGTTTGGAATTCAAAGTTACGTTTGGAATTCAATGAAATGACGCCACGTAGAGCTACATTCCTCACAGGGATCGCATAAAATACTCCATGAAATGACGCCACGTAGAGCTACATTCCTCACAGAGATCGCAGAAAATATTCCATTCGTGTTATTCCACATTATTCAATATTCCACATTATTCAGGTGTTATTGTGATTATATTCATATGTTATTGTGTTCTGAAAATATTCTCAGTATTATAATAACACTAACACATCAATACCACCACAATAACACTTGAATAACGTGGAATAACATAGAATGGATATTCTCCTGTGTTACCGGGCCGAATCACAGGAAAGCGCACAGAGTTTCCTTAAAGCCAAGTGTCTGCATATCATGGACTCCGAATGTGGTTCTATGTCAGGAGTTCTGATGTAATATGTTTCCCCATATTTTGACCGTTTTATGAAAAATAGACAATGGCTTTAGAACGAAAATATAATCACATTTTATGCATAATGAAAATTCAGAGACATTTGAAATTAAAAATTTGATAATAATATTATGATTTATTATAAAACTCTAATATTCCTACTAGAATTTGTATGCTAAAGCTTCATTAACAACTCTTATAATATTAAAATATAATAAAACCTAATATTAATATCCAGACTTTGAAAAACACTGTAGCGCATGTCAAAGCTAATAAACTATCATCATTGTTCAGAAATTTTTTAAACAATTAATTTTTCAGGGATTCTATAAAAATTCTCTTGGAAAAAGGAGACGTTGATCCATCTGGCTCCTCACAAACTGCAACATTTCTGAAGACTGTGGCCTCCCCCAGCCAGGTCAAAAATAAAAGGAAAAAGACAGTGCGCTCAACAGGGAGAAACCAGAAGAAACAAGAAAAGAGGCTGATACCTCTTGTTGGAACATTGTTCAATAAAGAAATGCACAGAAAAGACGCTCAAAATCACCCTGACGATCTCCAAATCCTTCCTTCCAAAGAAACTACCATTACAGAAACATCATCATGGTATTTTCTGCGATCCCCGTGAGGAATGTCCAGCAACTCGTGGAAGTCCATTCCTGCAATAAGAAAGTGGAAAGAAAAATGTGATTGGCATTGCTGATCAATTATGATTTAGCACACAGAAGTTTTACTATTAACTTTTAGAAATAAATTTAGGTTCTTTAAGGATCAAATTCATCTGGCAGACACAAAGGTTAATAATACCTTTTCTCGGCCTTTTGGCTAAGATTAAGTGTAGACACAAAGGTTAATGAACAATCAATATCATGCACAAGAGTATTTAATTTGGCTCAAAATTTCAAGATTGATGAAAACAATTAGGCATAGCACTACGATCAGTGGTCCCCAACGCCAAGAATATAAAACCACAACCGAATGGCAGCAGGTGATAATAGAGCAGCAACTCTAGAAGATTTCACAAGATCTCTATATACTTCCTGAACTATGTAAACAGTAGAAAAAATAAATGAAAAGTTACTTTTCCCTGTAAAGGGAACTCCTTCCTTGTCTTAGGAGAAGAGGAATATGCATCCCGATCCGGTACTCTTTGGCTCATCATTCCCACATTTCTGATACCTCCTTGCAAATGAAAGAATAGGAAATGACCGAATCCCAAATCCTCTCATATCTACACAGTCCATCAACATACCCCCTTCACTCAAGTTCCTTACCTCCCTCCTAAAACAGTTCTCACAAAATCTTCTTTCCCTTGCTACCTATGTATGGCGCGCCCATATTCTAAAGATATTTGCAGCAAATGGCTTTGCCGGATTTCTGAATGGCAAAAATCAAGATTTCAACAGGAATAACCCTTGACGAAACCGAAAACCCCCAAATCCAAGGGTGGACTCTCATCGATCAAAACCTAACCTAGCGGCCTTATATTCCATGATCTCACCCACTGTTGTTCCTCACATCATTAATTTGGGCAACCTTAGAGCACAGATTACAACCTAGGAACAGATCCAAGGTGATTCAACTGAAAAAAGAACTGCACCATATATCTATGAAGGATCAAACTATGGCACAATACCTAACGGAAATCCAAACTCTGGTGGATCACATCACTGTTGCAGGTTCCAACTGGATCAAGCAGATGTCATCCTATATATCCTCAATAGCACCTCCAACCTACAATGCATTCAAAACGGCCATTCAAACGACACTCCAACTTATAGCTCTAGATGACCTCTACTCTCTTCTTTGCAGCGAGGAATTCAATATTAAAAAAAATGCAACGCAACTCCCTACCATCGAAACTCCCATGGCGCTTAATGCATCCCGAGGACGCAACACACGCTTCACTAGAGGATAAGGCAGAAATCAACCAGCAAATCAAAGAGGAGGTTACTCGAATGGTTCGCATGGAGGAAGGACATCAACTCGATCCAACATAACATGCCAAATATGGCATAAAACTGGTCATTCTGCATCTATCTATTAGCATAGGACTAATCTCGAATATGCAGCTAAATTTCCAACTCAAGCCCTCAATGCTACCTCTAAGGAATGGATTCTAGACTCCAGTGCAACTGCCCACTTCACATCCGACCTTAAGTCAACTCCAACCAGCTACAACAAACAATGGGACTAAACAAGTCATGGTAGGTAACGGACAAGCTGTTCCAATTTTCAGCACAGAGGTGATGATCTTTGATACACCTAAAATATATAGTATTTTTATACACAATTTTATATCTAGATATTACGCTTTAATAAAAGGTATTTGTGTGTTTTTTTTCTTCAGGTACAACTAAAAAGGTGAAAAATAGCAGAATAAATGAAAAATGATCAAATATTGAGCAAAAATGAAAAAATAGTGCAAAAGTATTTTGGCACCTAAGCGCCAGATCTGGCGCTTAAGCGCCAAACAGAGAAGACCGTGCCTAAACGCCAGAGGTCCCGCGCTTAAGCGCCAGTGACAATTACTTGACGTGTTAATTCATTTTGATGAATTTTGAAGGGGCATTTAAGGTACCTATTGGCTAAAGAGGGTTGTTATAACTACTAGAAACGAAAATATGGTTAAAAGACTTGTGAAAGAATGCATCCTTTAGAGAATACATCAAATTTGGACACATTTTGAAGAAATACCAAGATTTTGAAGAACATTTTGAAGAAATACCAAGACACCTCTTGGAAAACTATAAATAGAAAGGCTTGGGACTTTTCGAGGGGCTGCTTCTAGTCTCTTCAAGTGTTTTGTTTTAGATTCTTTTTTGTTGTGATTTCTAGAAGGGACTGTAAAACACAAATATCTACTTTTATTTTAATTTTAGTTTCTAGTTTTTGAGAGTTAAGAGTATTGTAAGAAGAGAAGGGATTGTAAGAAGAAAGGGATTCAAAGGAACTTCAAGAGTTTGGTGGAGGATTTGAGATAAGTTTATATCTTTTTTGTTACTACATTTGATTTTAATTGAGACTTCTAATTGGTTTGACAGTGATTTCTGCTTTTAAACTAAAGTGTGGTTTTATTTTCTCCATGAATTCTGAGTAGTTTTCTTTGTCTTTTTCCTTAAAATGATAAGTAAAGTATTGGATGGAAGTTGTGGAGAATATTGATCTTTAATGTTGGAAGAAGTTGTGATGATTTAACTCCATGTACTTCATTTACTCCTTGATTTGACCCATTAAGATATTAAAATTTATTGTGAGAACATGTAAGAACCGCGATGACATTGTCTCAATCAACAATTGGAAAAAATCACATGAGATTGTATGGATGAGAATGTAATTCATATGATTGAATGTAAATAAATAGAGAAATAATCTTTGAAGGGTGTCGAGTTAGATGACTTTAAAGTAATAAGTTAAAGCCCCCAACTTGGTTTATTGTTTTAGGTTTTGATACGCGATGTTAGCCCCCATGTGGAGGGAATCGAGGGAACTTTAGAGTGAAAGCTAGTATCTTCTCTGCCTAGCCGGTCTTCAGAACTATTCAAACTTTAAATTAACTAATGTTCTTTATAGCATCTCTAGTAAGGGTAAAGAATAATATTGCTCCTATTTGACACAACACAATTTTGCATACTTCCACAACAGAATTCTTATACTTATTACTGATTCATGATAAGGAAAAAAAATATTTCTTATTCAGTGTTTTTTATCTTACAAAAACTCAAGTTTTTATTAGAAGTTATTATATTGTCAAAATATCAAAAATACCAAAAAGAATTAAACTTTAATTAATGTGATAATATCTTTAGTTTAAGTAACTGTCTTTTTGAAATAGAAGTTTATTACTTAATAGTGCGTATTGTGAACAATATCTGTGGGTTCGATATTTAGGGCTTAATCAAAAAATCTTATATTACTTGATAATGATACGTATTCGATACGTAACTTGATAATGATACGTATTCTTGCGTAGTATCCCAATATATATATAAATTAAAAAGTAGAATTCTTATTTTCTTCATAATCAAGTTTTTGGTGCTATTGCAAAGTAGAAAAGATACTTGAACAATATAATCGCATATATTGTTATACTGTTGCATATAAACAGTCGGGATCAATCTCCTTCCCACTCTAAATCATAAGCTCAATCTCTCCCAAATTCATCTCTCTAATCTCTCTAATCTCTCATAATCTCTTATCTATTCAAACCAAATACAATAATGTCATTGTCTCCTTTGATCATTCTGGCTGTCATTTCTGATCCTCGAACTCACAGATACTTCTCCAGGGTCCCAGTTCTAGAGGACTTTACTCGACTCTTGCACCAACTTATCTATCACAAGCATTTACTATACGTCTCTGCAAAATACAACAAGCTAAATTCTGGCATCGACGCTTGAAACACCCACATTAAAAAATTTTGCCCGTCATATCCAAACATCAATCTCTCCTCATCCCAACCACTTCAACTTCATGTAGCACATGCAACCTTACCAAGCGCCACAAACAACCCTTTGTATCGAGCATGGGACAAAAATATAAACTACTAGAACTCACTCATGGTAATGTACGAGATTCTTCCTCATTTATCTTTTATCAAGGCTATAGATATTACATTGTGTTTATTAATGACTTCTCTAAATTTTGTTAAGTATTTCCTATATGTACAAAATCTAAGACCACAAACATCACTACAAATTTCATTAAATCACTCCAACAACAATGCAACACTAAAATTAAAATTCTCCAATCTGATGGTGGAAAAAAATGTAATAACACTATGTTAAATGCTTTCCTCAATGACCTTGGCATACTACACCAATATTCATGTCCCTACACCCCTAAGCAAAATGGAGTCGTTGAAAGGAAGCATCAACACATCATTGAGACCACTTGGGCTCTACTACATCAAGCACACCTCCCCTATAAGTTTTGGACAAACATCCTCCTCACTGTCGTGCAGCTCATTAACCGAATGCCCACAAGAATCATTAATCACATATCTCACAACGAACATCTTCACCTAGCCGTACTACACCTATCTTCGGATTTTGGCTGCACATGCTACCCCATGGAGAAAGCCCCAAACATCCCACAAATTTGAACTGAGATCAATACAATGCATTTTCCTAGGCTACTCAATTCAACATAAGAGTTATAAATGCTAAGCCCACTACCAACAAAATCACCCTATCCTGCCATGTGATTTTTGATGAACATATATTTCCACTTCATTCAACAACTAATGCCCCTCTGGTTACTTAACACGTACCACCTACTTATCCCCTAAGGTCCAACCTCCTCCACCTACTCCACCAACACTCTCCTCTACATCTCCAATTCAAACTATTAGCATATCTCGTCCAGCGGCTACATCAACTACCCAACCAAATCTACTCAATTCCAACCCAACTTCAAATCCCATGATAACCCGCTTCATAACAGGTACCCTCAAACCAAGCCATAAACTCAATCTATTCCACCAAACCCGACCACTTCCTGATCATACCTCCTACACTCAGGCCTCCAAACATTCTCATTGGCAAAATGGCATGCAAGAGGAATTCAATGCACCACCCGCGCGACCAATTCAGACAATTCTTGGCTCACGATGGACATACACTGCTAAGGTCAACTCCAAAGGCATGGTTACGAGGTA